AGATTTTAGCATTGCGAAGAGCTCGGGAATAGTCTTGTCCATCCCTTGCATATTATAGTTCATCACGAAGCTCTTATAGCTTGGTGGCAGTGATTGAAGAATTCTGTCAATGACACTATCATTAGGAAGATTAACTCCCAGTTGAATCAAGTGATTATTATACCCAGACATTTTGCGTATGTGTTCACTGACAGAACTATTCTCCTCCATCTTGCAGCTATAGAACTTATTGGAGACTTCATATCTCTCAATCCGGGCATTTGCTTGAAATATTAACTTCAACTCCTGAAACATCTCATATGCTCCATGACGTTCAAAACGTCGTTGAAGACCCGGTTCTAAGCCGTAAAGCATGGCACACTGAACTATCGAGTAGTCATCAGCTTTGCTCTGCCAGACGTTCTTAACGTCGTCAGTTGCATCAGCAGCAGGCCTGGCACCCAGCGGTGCTTCCAGGACGTAATTCTTCTGTGCAGCAATGAGGATAATCCTCAGGTTACGGACCCAGTCCTTGTAATTGCTACCATCATCTTTCAACTTTGCTTTCTCAAGGAACGCATTAAAATTCAACGGAACAACAGCACAAGCCATCTATCTACAACAAACATAGACAAGCAAAATACTATCAGGTACTAAGTTCATGATAAATTTAAGTTCAATTAATCATATTACTTAAGAACTCCCACTTAGATAGACATCCCTCTAATCTTCTAAGTGATTACATGATCCATATCAACTACACCATGTCCGATCATCACGTGAGATGGAGTAGTTTCAACGGTGAACATCAATATGTTGATCATATCTACTATATGATTCACGCTCGACCTTTCGGTCTCCGTGTTCCGAGGCCATATCTGTTATATGCTAGGCTCGTCAAGTTTAACCTGAGTATTCCGCGTGTGCAACTGTTTTGCACCCGTTGTATTTGAACGTAGAGCCTATCACACCCGATCATCACGTGGTGTCTCAACACGAAGAACTTTCGCAACGGTGCATACTCAGGGTGAACACTTCTTGATAATTTTAGTGAGAGATCATCTTAAAATGCTACCGTCAATCAAAGCAAGATAAGATGCATAAAGGATAAACATCACATGCAATCAATATAAGTGATATGATATGGCCATCATCATCTTGTGCTTGTGATCTCCATCTTCGAAGCACCGTCGTGATCACCATTGTCACCGGCGCGACACCTTGATCTCCATCGTAGCATCGTTGTTGTTACGTCATCTATTGCTTCTACGACTATCGCTACCGCTTAGTGATAAAGTAAAGCAATTACAGGGCGTTTGCATTTCATACAATAAAGCGACAACCATATGGCTCCTGCCAGTTGCCGATAACTTCGGTTACAAAACACGATCATCTCATACAATAAAATATAGCATCACGTCTTGACCATATCATATCACAACATGCCCTGCAAAAACAAGTTAGACGTCCTCTACTTTGTTGTTGCAAATTTTACGTGGCTGCTACGGGCTGAGCAAGAACCGTTCTTACCTACGCATCAAAACCAAAACGATAGTTCGTCAAGTTAATGTTGTTTTAACCTTCGCAAGGACCGGGCGTAGCCACACTCGATTCAGCTAAAGTGAGAGAGACAGACACCCGCCAGCCACCTTTAAGCACGAGTGCTCGTAACGGTGAAACCAGTCTCGTGTAAGCGTACGCGTAATGTCGGTCTGGGACGCTTCATCTCACAATACCGCTGAGCCAAAGTATGACATGCTGGTAAGCAGTATGACTTGTATCGCCCACAACTCACTTGTGTTCTACTCGTGCATATGACATCTACACATAAAACCTGGCTCTGATACCACCGTTGGGGAACGTAGTAATTTCAAAAATTTCCTACGCACACGCAAGATCATGGTGATGCATAGCAACGAGAGGGGAGAGTATTGTCCACATACCCTCGTAGACCGTAAGCGGAAGCGTTATGACAACGCAGTTGATGTAGTCGTACGTCTTCACGATCCGACCGATCCAAGTACCGAATGTACGGCACCTCCGAGTTCAGCACACGTTCAACTCGATGACGATCCCCGGACTCCGATCCAGCAAAGTGTCAGAGATGAGTTCCGTCAACACGACAACATGGTGACGATGATGATGTTCTACCGGCGCAGGGCTTCGCCTAAACTCCGCGACGATATGACCGAGGTGGAATATGGTGGAGGGGGGCACCGCACACGGCTAAGGAACGATCTTGAAGATCAACTTGTGTGTTCTAGGGTGCCCCCTGCCCCCGTATATAAAGGAGGGAGGGGGGAGGTGCGGCCGGCCCCCTAGGGGTGCGCCTGGAGGAGTCCTACTCCCACCGGGAGTAGGACTCCCCCTCTTGCCTTGGTGGACAAGGAAAGGGGGGAGGGGAAAGAGGAAAGGGGGGTGCCGCCCCCCTTCCTTGTCCTATTCGGACTAGGGGGGAGGGGGGCGCGCCCTGCCCTGGCCGGCCCTTCTCTTCTCCCTCATGGCCCACTAAGGCCCATTAACCCCCGGGAGGGTTCCGGTAACCCCCCGGTGTTCCGGTAAAATCCCGATTTCACCCGGAACCATTCCGATATCCAAATATAGGCTTCCAATATATCAATATTTATGTCTCGACCATTTCGAGACTCCTCGTCATGTCCGTGATCACATCCGGGACTCCGAACAACCTTCGGTACATCAAAACTTATAAACTCATAATAAAACTGTCATCGTAACGTTAAGCGTGCGGACCCTACGGGTTCGAGAACTATGTAGACATGACCTAGAACTATTCTCGGTCAATAACCAATAGCGGAACCTGGATGCTCATATTGGCTCCTACATATTCTGCGAAGATCTTTATCGGTCAAACCGCATAACAACATACGTTGTTCCCTTTGTCATCGGTATGTTACTTGCCCGAGATTCGATCTTTGGTATCCAATACCTAGTTCAATCTCGTTACTGGCAAGTCTCTTTATTCGTTATGTAATGCATCATTCCGTAACTAACTCATTAGATACATTGCTTGCAAGGCTTATAGTGATGTGCATTACCGAGAGGGCCCAGAGAAACCTCTCCGACAATCGGAGTGACAAAACCTAATCTCGAAATACGCCAACCCAACATGTACCTTTGGAGACACCTGTAGTACTCCTTTATAATCACCCAGTTACGTTGTGACGTTTGGCAGCACCCAAAGTGTTCCTTCGGTAAACAGGAGTTGCATACTCATAGTTACAGCAACATGTATAAGTCATGAAGAAAGCAATAGCAATATACTAAACGATCAAGTGCTAGGCTAACGGAATGGGTCATGTCAATCACATCATTCTCCTAATGATGTGATCCCATTAATCAAATGACAACACATGTCTATGGTTAGGAAACATAACCATCTCTTGATTAATGAGCTAGTCAAGTAGAGGCATACTAGTGACTATATGTTTGTCTATGTATTCACACATGTATCATGTTTCCGGTTAATACAATTCTAGCATGAATAATAAACATTTATCATGATATGAGGAAATAAATAATAACTTTATTATTGCCTCTAGGGCATATTTCCTTCAACCTCTCCGTCATACGGAGTGACAAATCCCAGTCTCGATCCGTGTCAACCCAACAGACACTTTCGGAGATACCTGTAGTATACCTTTATAGCCACCCAATTACGTTGTGACGTTTGGTACACCCAAAGCACTCCTACGGTATCCGGAAGTTACACGATCTCATGGTCTAAGGAAATGATACTTGACATTAGAAAAGCTCTAGCAAACGAACTACACGATCTTGTGCTATGCTTAGGATTGGGTCTTGTCCATCACATCATTCTCCTAATGATGTGATCCCATTATCAACGACATCCAGTGTCCATAATCAGGAAACCATGACTATCTGTTGATCAACGAGCTAGTCAACTAGATGCTTACTAGGGACATGTTGTGGTCTATGTATTCACACATGTATTACGGTTTTCGGATAACACAATTATAGCATGAATAATAGACAATTATCATGAACAAGGAAATATAATAATAATCATTTTATTATTGCCTCTAGGGCATATTTCCAACAGTTGCTCCACACCGGGTCACGATGGATCTAGTGTCCCTGATCGGTTGGTTGCGGGTGTGGCTGTGTTGCTCGTTGGCCTATGGAGGCGTGGGTCTGGCATGGTGTGTACATATGGGGAATGACCATATCTGGCCTCCTCATGTACAACAGCTGCGGAGGCAAGGCGGACGCCATGGTTTGTGGCCGATGGTCTCCAAAGGTGGTCGATGGCTGACTGCAGCTCTAATCCACTCGGGGCCTTGAGCATCGGTGAGGTGCAATCTATGGGCAATGACTTGACGTAGAGGATATGATTATACAATGAGGGCAGTCATCTCCCGACACATGTAGTTGCTGTGATCGTGGGAAGTGGTGGCGACAACACATAATTGACTTTGATGGTGGTGCTTCTCAAGTGCCCGATCTCGAGCTCCGAGGTGAAAACCTAGGACTGATCCGAGATGGTTATACCTGACAATGACGGTGTGCTTGCATCGTAACCTTGTTGAAAGTATTGCTCGGATATTCTCGGACTGGTTCTTCATTGTGAAAACTTAGAATCCGGCCATTGATGGCCGGATCCGGTGACGGCGACATTTGAGCGTAGCTTCCTTCCTAAAGGCGTTCTGTTGAAGAACACGAACATCATTGTCCTTGTATTGTCATGTAATGGTTGGTGCGGATATAGTCCTTGTTGTAGTTTGTCAGTTTTTTTCTTCTCTCACTTAGACATAGCTTTGGTCTTATCGAAAAATTAATTTATGTTTGATCTTTGTTAGGGAGGAAAGTAATTGCAGAAAAAAAGTCATCTTAATCTTGTTAAACTGCAGCACAGCACGCAAAAAGAAAAAAAAACGCAATCTCTTCTCTTCTCTTCCCCACAGAAACAAAAAAACAAAAGCAGCCGTCCCACTTTCCCCATTCCCACGCCGCCGCCGCCGTCGCATCTCTCCCGCGGCGCCATGCTCCGGCTGCGAAGCTCCATCCTCGCCCGTCTCCTCTCCTCTTCTCCAGCCACCTCTCCCAAATCCCCCTTCCGCCGCCTCCTCTCCGCCATCGTCCCAGCCCCAATCACCGGATTTGCCGCGGAGGAGTACCTCGTCTCCACCTGCGGCCTCGCCCGACCCCAGGCCGTCAAGGCCTCCACCAAGCTCTCCCACCTCAAGTCCCCCGCCAACCCCGACGCCGTCCTCGCCTTCCTCGCCGGCCTCGGTCTCTCCGGCGCCGATGTCGCCGCCCTCGTCGCCAAGGACCCGCTGTTCCTCTGCGCCAGCGTGGAGAGAACCCTGGCGCCCGTCGTCGCCGGGCTTTCCGGCCTCGGCCTATCGCGTGCCGACATCGCGCGCCTCGCCAAACTCACCGACCACAAATTCCGCCAAAAAGGAATTGTCTCCAAGCTGCACTACTACCTGCGCGTCTTCGGCTCCTCCGAGAACCTCCTCCGGGCCATGAAGTTCTGCACTCTCCTCTCACACAGCCTCGAGAGGGTGGTCAAGCCCAATGTCGCGTACCTGCGAGAGTGCGGGTTAGGTGACTGCGATATTGCCAAGCTGTGCGTCTCAAGACCGAGGATGTTCGCCACCAACCCGGAGCTTGTTCAGGCGATGGTGACATGCGCCGAAAACATAGGTGTGCCCCGTGGCGCTGTCATGTTCAGGCACGCGCTGCTTGCTGTTTCATCTCTTGGGAAAGAGGAGATCTTGCTGGGATGTTCAGCCAGAGTGGAGTACTTGAGGAATACGTTCAGGTGGACGGATGCTGAGGTGGGCATTGCTTTTTCTAAGTATCCATTGGTGCTGAATAAGTCCAAGGAATCACTGCAGCGCAGGTCTGAGTTCCTCATCTCGGAGGTGGGCTTGGAACCGCCCTACATTGCTCAACGGTCGGTAATACTAGGTCTCAGCCTAGAGGGCCGGCTCAGACCCCGGTACTACGCTGTAAAGTTCCTCAAGGAAAATGGATTGCTCAAGTGTGACCCAAGCTACTATACTGTTTTCAAGGAGTCCGACATGGTATTCAAGAAGAAGTTCATACACCCTCATAAGGAAGCTGCACCGCACCTTGAAAAAGACTACGATGCTGCTTGCAAAGGGGAAGTGCCCACTAATTTCAGATTCACATAAGCCAAGAACGGGCTCTGATGTAACTGTGTGCTGGTTGTCCGCTGCTGTATGTCTGTTAGATGCTGGGTTGGTGGTTGTTAACGAGTGATGAAGCTGATAATTTGATCCCTGGATACTGATATGTAATGTCACCACTCAGCCGAGAAGAAACCATGGATTGGTTATGAACTTTTTCGTCCTCATTCATGTTTTAAACACATGTATTGGAACTAAGTAAGTGTGAGATCAGGCCATTCTGTAATGCACTAAAATTTCAGTTTTCAAGTTAGTTGCCTGTGCATTGAGACAATGAGCCAAGATATGGTCTCCTTCATTGTGGGTAATGAATTCCTAATGTTCTACTGCTGTTTTTGCAATTCATAGTGGATAATTTGAGGATAAATCTGATGCCCTTCCCAAATCTAGGTAAATAGTGGCTTTAGCTTAATCTATTTTTCAGTTATGGTTTGATATTAAAATCATTTTGGTTTGCTCATATGCAGATTCATAGAGATCTGTTTTTGCTTTAACAAACTAAAGATAGACTTAATCATTCAACTATAGAAGGTCTGCAAGTGAGTTCTCCTTAAGTTGGATCAGAGGTAACGATTTGGAGCCATCGGTCATATTGGAAATACCTGCTGGGCAGCAGGACGAAATGTACAGGGCTCACATCTGGTTATCTGCTAAAGAGAGATGCACACTTAACTAAACATCAAACTCTCATATGGAGGAGGTTTGGCATCATTTAAGTTTAAGTAAACTTAGGTGTGTCTGTCCATTCTTATGCTAGTAATGTTATTGAGACAATGGAGAAGCACTTGCCGCTAGTAAACTTAGGTGTATTATCCTGCTCTGCACGATGGCCATATTTTTTTTTTTTGAAATGGCCATAAATGATGTGTTTATTGTGGATGGCAGCTTAAGATTTTTGGTTCATTATTGTGTTTTGGTCCTGTGGGTATTTCTTTGTGCCAAGCACCACCAGAAGGTTCACTAGTAGCTAGGTAGTGTTTCTTACTTCTATGTCTGAGCTAGCTCTTCTTTAGTTTGGCTAAAACTGAATGATTAATTTATTGCTTTGGTTGGTGTGATCGTGAATATAGTCCCCAAACAGTTGGTATCATGTACATCCATACTCTGAATACATGGTCTGAATTTCTGCAGAGACTGCAGGTTCTGAATTACTTGCCTGTGTGTTCATCTGCACCAAACAGTTGGTATTCTTGTTTGTATGAAAAGCTGCACATAATATGCTAGCTTTTGGGGGCACACTACTTCCAACTGGCAACATAATCTGTACCTGAATTAGTTTCTGCCATCTTGGGTGTTCATCTGGATAACATTGAAGTTTAGCGACGGATAGTAAAATTTGATACCTGTGTCTGTATGATTTTCGCAAGGGAAAATTAAGGTTTTGAACTATGTTTGATCTGAAAAGACAAATAATTTCAGTACTTTATTTAACTTCCAAAGTAACTGCCAAAGCATGCTAGAATTATTTTAACTTCTAGTTGTCAAGCAGATAAGTTGTAGTTATCATGATCTGGTATTTTCTTTGTAACAAAGTAAGCATTGCATGCTGTCTGTACTTAAACCTTTCATATGTCCACTTATCTCAAGATTAGGTGTTTGCTACATGTCATTTTGCCCTGTTAATGCTCTGCTTATTTTACTTGTCGATGCAGGGTTATGGAAAGGCTCCTGGGTGTAAGAATTACTTTTGTTGGAGATGGACATTAAAGGTGCATTATTATTCAACTGTTGAACTATTTTTTATTTTCAGCAAGACACAAACCTGTTGAGGTTTTTACAGTGATTTTTCTTCTTAGGTTTCATCAAGATTTTGTTGCCTTGTTGGGAATGATAAATGGATATTTTGTGGTGCTCCATGCAGTAAATGTGTATGTGATGCATCATACACTTGAGTGTTTATATGTTTCATCAAGTTTGTCTGACCTGATATTGGAGGTATGCCTTGGCTTTAATAAAAGTTGGGGCGGGGGGAAACCCCTTTTGTTTCAAAAAAATTTATATTGGAGGTCAACTGTACATTGACTTGTCCTGCCCAGTGAAATGATAAACCCGTTCCCCTTATAAGTTGTAATTGTTGTGATTGCTACGAGAGGCTTCTTGTATTTCGCTCTATTTCAGAGTGTAGCCCTATTGCTTCTTGGTATCATTACTAACAAGTGGCATGTCACTTTTACCCATGCTCTTTACAAACAGAAGTACCCTCAGATTTTAGTTTATACATAGAGTCAGCTGTTGTTGTCGAGGCTGCTAGTAAACTGACTTGAATATGCATTTTCCTTGTTGATCGCCTGATTCGTTTCGAGTGTGGTTGTAGTTTGTGGATATGATACTCCTTTAGTTCCACCGGAATGGTACATATATCCTGGATGGAGGTGATGCATATGTATCCTTTTTTTTTCCTTTTCCTTTTTGTACATTTAAATAGAAACACACCAATCTAGTTTTTAGATAGCTGCTCAAAGATCAAACTTGACTCCGGCCAAGAATCCGTCGTTCGTAGATACTGATGCCCATTACTTCAGATTTAATTGCTGAAATCAATCGGTATGAGGAAACACTGATAATACTCATTACACCAATGTATATGAAGAAACCATTAAGCGCTATTTTCTCAGCGAGTCCGTTTATTGGATATTTTGTTCTTCAAAATGTTATTTTTGAGTTATTAGAGCTAGGTTGATTGTTGTGATTGCTAGCAGATGCCTCTTTTACCATTTTCAAACATCTCATCATTCCTCTGTGTGTATTTAATTCTGTAACTAAATTGCTACTTTGCTAGGATGCACAAGTTGACATTTTTCAATTGGCCAAGCAAACTGAGTTTGTTAGTCTACGCCTTTTTCTGATGCTGTTAACTTCCCATGAACCCGTGCATTTTGTTTTGTATCTAGATGGCCCATAACAGTGGACTAAAGGTTGTCGGTTTCTTGAAAAGGTAAAGCACCATCTCATTATTTCTGTCCACGAGATAAGTTACCGATAATGGATTCACAGTAGCGTTAGCATTTGTATCCAATGAGCGATGGGTGATGTCCATAACAGAATTTCTTTGCTTTCTTTATCAGGATTTTATTAGAGTGTGGCTCTGTTGCTTCTTGGTATCATTACTGACAAGTGGCATACATTCTCAAACAAAAGTACTCATGCTCTTTACAAACAAAAGTACCCTCAGATTTTAGTCTATACATACGTGTCTGTAGAATCAATTGTTCTTGTTGAAGCTGCTAGTTAACTGACTTGAATATGCCGATCTCCTGATTTGTTTCGAGTGGTTGTAGTTTGTAGATATTATACTCCACAAGTTCCACTGGGTGGCATGAAAATTATGTGTTACTTGTCCCTTTGCTTTGTGCTGGTTGCTGCTAGTACTTGGAGATAAGCTTTCCTCTGAGCACTGCAAATCGTTGATAGAACTCTCTCTGTGATGCAACAGTGGTTTAACATGGTGGTGTGGAAGTGTCGTGGCTCGGCTGTGGGAGCTAGAGACCTTATCATGCAGAGATCTTATCATGCAAATCTCATGTATGCTGGTGAGGAAGACGCATATCTTGCCCTGTTAGGACTTGTGAGTCTGGGAGAAGATGCTATTTTATTTATTTATTTTACTGAGAGGTTGTACTGAATTTCCATCTCTTGTCGCCTATTTAGTTAAATTTCAGTTTAGGCATGCATGTGCTAACTGTCTGATATTGTGTAGTTATAGAATCTTGCAGAATTTCAAACGTATGAATAGTAGGCATGTTGCGTAGCTCAAATTAAGAACCAAGCCATGTCATGATGGTAGACATTTGTTCCTGATGTCAGGCTGTAAAGGTTGGAACTGAAAGCAATGGGATATCAGCCGTGTGCTTGCAGTAACACAAAGGAGATGGTTCCATGGTATACTGGCGAAGAGCTCTGACTTGATGATCTGTTGTGTGTCTCTTCTCTGGTGCCTAGCTAGCTAGTGGGAATTGTAGAAACAAGATACAGGTAGGGAATGGGTTGATTGATGAATGCAGTGACGTACCAGGTGAGATGATGGGTAGATTTTCCTCAAGCGAGAAGTGTCCAGGCAATGAACATGAACATATTGACTGATTTACTGAAGTAGATCAATGGTGCATTCTTTCTTCCAGGAGAAGATGTTCTAAAACTGGATTTGGATGCATTGTGATATCCTCTTCTTCCGGGTGATCGATGAAGCATGGAGCCTGGGGTTTTGCGATTCTGAAGGCTCTGTTAGTTGATGATGCCCTGCCCTGAAGCAGTTTCAGTAACAAGTATGATGCACTCGCGGGAGTTTTATCCTACACTGCTCATTTTGAATTCTGGAAGGTATGTATTATCCTATATATTGTAATACACAAGGTGAGACCCGTGTGTGTTGTCGCCTGCCTGCTGGATTCATCAGCTCAACTGAGTGGAGTGAGGGAACCTCCTCAACGAATAATAAGTTGAATAAAGTAGATACATCTGGTGGTCTAATTAATCCGTACATTGATGAGCTCCATGCTGTTTTGCTTATGGTGTCTTGGATCTTCACTTGGATGTAATTGAACGAATCAGAGAGCATGTAAAAAATCAATTTATATGTTATATACATTTGTACTCTGAATCTGAATGATAGTTGAAATTTAACTCTGAAACTCTGAATCTTTCAGACTTCATGGGTGAACTCTGTCCTTACACCCAAGTCAAGTGCAAAGCTATATCAGTAAGGGTTTAAACATCTTACAGGGGCCAAGTTAATTTGAATCAGAGCTTAAATGTAACAACAATTGCTTTTTTCTTTCAATGTCATGTTTTATATTTGGCACCAGAAATTTGATGCTAGCTGGCTTACACTAGATTTTTGAGTGTTGTAAAAATGATATCTCCACAACTATATCAAGCTTGTGCTGCTGATCTTTGCGTCAGAACTTATTAATGCCAGATGTGATACTGGCCGGCATAAATTACCAGCTATCAAGAATATTACTGCCAGAGAACATATCATCAAAACTATCTTCATATTTAACATATTTGTGTACATTATGGTTTGCTTCCATGGTTCGTAGGCTCCTGAACTCCTGTTTTTATTTAGGCGTGAATGTGCTTCACTACTCGATACTTTCTTATGCTATTTGTTAGCTTATGAGATGACAACAAGATTATATCGTACTGCTTGTTCTCTGCAAAATCTAGTGTCCTCATATATGATTTGGATTGATCCTGGTGGTCCATTGGTTCAATAGGTACTCATGCAGTCGAGCTATTTATAATTCGGGAGTCCTACTTCAAGAGATATGTTATAGGCATATTTAAACTGGAATTATTAACTACATTTTCCATTGACAGGTCACCATGGTTGTCTTGCAAGATCATCCTGCCTTGCCATATTAGCATTATCTTAATCTGTGGGATTTTTCGAATCTGTGGGCATGCACCTGCAATTCCTCATGAGTCATGACAAGCAATCACCCTTCTGACTAGGCACTGGTTTTCTTGTGTATAATTCCAGGTGTTTATTGAAGGTTTTGTCTCTTTTCTTTTTTTGCTATAGTTGGCTTGGCTGTATACCTTTTGAAATCGGGGGCATGTGGTGCAGTATGAGGTATGTTCTTAATACTCCAATTCTATTTGAAGTGATTCCCACTTTTTTTTTTAATTTCTCAAATCACAGATAAGAATATTTTTTGAAATTACATATGCCCTCTAATTACTGAGGGATGACAAACATTTAATTTGGTTTAATCTGCATATTCTATCAACATGGAAATAACATTACATGTTGGTCTCACAGCGCATATGGTGCTGTCCAGGCATAGTTGAAATCACAGTCAACCGTCGGTTATACACTTGCTGTTGTTTGAGCTGGTGGCTAGTTTTCTCCGAAGACAAGGTGCATCATGTGCTCCATTTTTGCAGAAACAGTGGAGAGCTGACATATCATGTTAGCCAAGAGTTGTTGCACTTACCACCGGGGAGTCATGAGTCCTGATATGTGGCATGTCTATGGACTTGTTCATCCCTGTATTGTATTGACATTTGTATTGAAACTAAGAGAGTGTGAGATTAGGTCATACTGCAAATGCATTGAAATATCAGTGAGTAATATATTTCCATGAAGGAAGGTCCTCAATTTGGCCGTGGCGATGATATGAGATAGTCTAATTTGAAGGGAACTTGTAATTTCCCTTCGGAAGACAATTCTGGACCCATTTTTTGGGGGAGCAATGTTGGACTTGTTGACGTCCATGGTATGTTGAACACTGCCGAGGATGCAGTTTTGATCTAGTTTGCTGGTTCCTTGCTCTAGTTCTTGTAAGCTGAAAATCTTCTTTCTTTCTGCAGCATCTTTGTTTGAAGAGATTAGTGTCCGGTAAAGACTGAGCCTCCTCTGTTTGCACCAATCAAAGGTTTGATGTGTTATTTCTATGCCTAGCAAGGTAGCAGATATGAAGGAAGCTATATCAAATGGTTATATCGTGATTTAAGCTCACCAAATGGTTAGAATATTAACTTTCGGTTTAGCGTGGCATCCAATCAGCCTAGGGCCCTAGACTGATTGAATGAACACATTCATAGGCATTAACAGAGCTAGGCAGAGCTAGGCATTAGCAGATGCAAGCTGGCTTTTCGAGATGGCATCCTATCTTCAGTGCTGTAAAAATATATCTTCACAGCTATATTGAACTTGTGCTGTGGTCCTTTGTTCATTTTTTTTAAAATCCAGATGTGATACTGGCCGGTGAAGGACAGGCCTGGCACAGTGGGAAGCACTCCCCACTTGTGCCAAGTGGTCTTGGGTTCGACGCAGCCTGTCTGCATTGCATTGTGCAGGGGTATGGCTTGTCTCATATAATCCGTCCCTAAATCCCACCTGGTGTGGTAGCTTCTAGCACTTAGCACTGGGTCTGTCCTTTTTTATGTGATACTGGCCGGTGTGAATTATCAGCTATCTAGACTTTCTCTGTCCCGAGCACAGATCGTAAATTCTATCTGCATATTTAACAATTTTTGTGCACATTATGTTTCGCTTCCATGGTTATTACCATTTAAATTCCTATCACACACTGTGGTTGCCTAACAAGATCACCCTCCCTGCTATATTAGCATTCTCTTAAGTCTATATGCATTGGAGGTTATGCCCTTTTTGTGCTATTGTTAGACTTTGGTTGTATACCTTCTGGAATTGTGAGCACAAGATAAACTTTAAGTAATCCTTCTATCTGGAGAGTTTTTTTTCTTTTCTTTCTGACTCAGATCACATATAAGAACAAGTTTTTTTGGAGATATGAACAGTCATTTATGACATTTGGCACACATGGTTCAAAGCAATGATTACATGATAAGATTGCATCTCGGCTGTCTATCGGTTAATTCTACTAATTAGAATATCTGCTTATGAGCTCCCTCATCTTAGTGGAGGCATTTAGTTGACTCTTCACCCGTATAGGTTGTTGATGACAATGGATGCAATCATAGTATAAAGCTCTCATTTTATTTTGTCAAACAGTTACCTGTTGCTACACATTTTTTTCTTCCATTTAATTTAAGAGATTGTAACACCTCATAGTTTCTTCTTTCATGTACTGCATGCCTAGTTGGTCTAAATGGTGTGACAAGAACAGTCAGTAGGACCATGATATTTTCAGTTTTCGATCTTAGAAAATCTGTAGGTTAACAAAGAATAGCTGACACATTATGGCCAAAATAATAGGCAGAGGAAGCTAATTTTAGAGGGAGCACCATCATTATAGTAACAATTTTGCCATTGCTCTTATTCTTATATTCTGCCATTACTCCCACACGTTGTAGCAAGTCCTAAATCTACTAACCATGCCTCTCAGAAAATATTGTCCATTCTCATGCCAGCTGACAAGATAATGGACTAGAACCAAAAAAGTGGTGTTGTTGTATGAACAATGATGAACATAGGTCAGAAACAAAAGATGCAATTACGCAAAGAGCTTTGATGTCCTGTCGTTGCATATAGACAAAACCAACAAGGATCATATGTGCCAGTGCTTGGCTCCAACATCCAACAGCTGGACTGGAGTATTAAGTATCTGCCAGTGCTTGCCAACCTCCAAAGCTTTGTTGAGTACTGCTGTCATTTTTTGTCTCTAGTAATGTAATTATTACGTTACTAGAAAACGTCACATAGCTGTAAACAGGTAGGTAAAAGCTGGAACATAAGAGGTATCCAGCTAAAACATTTTGGAAATAAAAGGTATCCAATGAAACCATGCCTAGCCAGTCAAATCAAGTAAGGCATTTAAATGATAGATAGCATTTTTCAGATGAGAAAGGACAAAAGAGGAAATAAATGAGAGCTATAAAGAGAATGAACGGTAGCCGTCCATTGCCATCCATGGCCGCGGACTTGCAGTCCATCTCCCCTATATATACTGCACCCACCGACACCAATCTCCATCCATTCACTCTCATTCCATCTTCGCCCTCCCCTATCCTCTCATTGTTTAGCTTTCTTCCTCCCTTGTAGCTCTATTGTCCTTGTTGCGGGTAGCCATGGCGGCCCCAATGTTGAACCAGCCCAACGGCCTCCTTGCCAACATGTTCGCTGCGGTAAGCTATTTACTATTTTGGTGCCAATTATGCAGGAATCTATTGAGGTGGATAGGTAACGTGATATTTGTCAGAGAATTTGATGTTTTTGTTTTGTGTTTATTTGGTGGGCTAGGGTTTGCTGGATGATCAGTTCCAGGAGCTGCAGATGCTCCAGGAAGGGAGCGCCCCAGACTTCATCGTCAAGGTTGTCTCACTCTTCTGCGAGGACGGCGAGCGTATCATCGGCGAGATCGCCAAGCTGCTGTACACAAGCTTCCTTTCCTTTGATCCAACCATTAGTGTAGAGTGGTTGGTTTGATTTTCAGCTTGGGGATATGGTTGCTGTTTTTGCAGGGACAAGCCATGTGTGGACTATGACAAGGTGGGTGGTTTTGTGCATCAGCTCAAGGGAAGCAGTGCAAGGTGTGGCTGTTTTCTTCTTCTTTCATGTCCTCTTCGTATGTGTTTGTGCAATACTATAGGAATTATGTTTGTTTTCGGTTCTTGGCGTGCAAATTAGGTATTTAGCTCCCTGCTCGATACATGGTAAGGTGTCCAATCATCTTGGGGGAATTATGGTCTGTTTCATCATTATAGTGTTTTATGTCGTAGATCTGACAAGGATGGTCAGTTTCCTGCATTTGTTGAACGACTCAACAATTATAGATTGATGTTCTTTCGTGTTAGTACCACTGGTGTCGTAGATCCGTTGGGCATGTTGTAGTGATCTATCATGTAGATCCGACAAAAAATATCCGTTCCGTACACATTGGCAGCTCAACAAGCAGCACGTCACATCTTCCCATTAATTTGGGGAGAGGTGACATCCATTTGGCCGTTATATTTGTTTAGATTTAGATACGGCGAACAATTTTGTCCTTGTACTGTTTGTGATTTAGATACGACAAACCGATTGGCCGTTGTATTGTTCTATGATTTGCATTCGACAAACAGTTTGTTTGTTATATTGTTTAATGATTTAGGCGAGACAAACAGTTAGGCAATTATACTGTTGTGTGATGTACATCCGACAAACTGTTTGGCCATTATACTACTATATTATTTAGATCCGACAAATTGTTTGGCCGTTGTTACCGTTTGATGATTTGGATCTGACAAATATGATCTGCTTCCCATAAACCGGACAGCTCAATGAGTACTGCTTTGGACCCTCTGTCTTAAGTGGGGGGCTGGTTGACCTCCATTCAGTCATTGTCATGTTAAATAATTATTAGATCCGACAAAAAATATCATATGATCCACGCACATCAAGCGGCTCAAAGAATCGCACTTCACGTCTCCTTTTTAAAGTGGGAGCTCTTGTAATTAATTTGGGCAGGATTATTATTCTCTATTTTATCGTCACAACATTCCATGACCTATATCAGAGAAACATGTCCGTTCATCCATTGTCATATTTAATGATTCAGATCCGTCAAATATCATATGTTCCGCACACATCAAGCGGCTCAAAGAGTAGCACTTCACATCGTGGGGCTCTTCCAATTAATTCGGTGTGGATTATCATACTCCCTTTATCGTCACAACATTCCGTGACATAGATATAGGAGAAACTTGTTCCGCTGCATTCACATTACTTGGATGGTACTGTACACTCGGGTTATCTTACATATTCAGGTCAACTGATCCCATTCAAACTAGTTGATAGTTTTGCAAGGTTAGCCTTTGTGTGGTTAATATACATTAATAGTATTATCCTTAGAAACTAATATTATTGTGCCCAAACAATTTAGCTCCATGTATGTTTTTGGTATATACAAGTAATTCTTATGGAATCAGAGGAAATAAGCCAATGAGTCACTACTTCTTTACATATCAAATATATAACTTATTCAAAGTCATTTATCATGAATTATCACTTCCATTATAGAAACTATACATATTTCCTTTTGGATTAATGTTTCATATTGCATATGCCCTGGTGAAATAACTCATTTTGCTTACACCGGGCTCTCATAGTTGTATTGTGTTAACTTCTTAACTCAGATACAGATAATCATAGTGCTACATCTACTCGCTTGGGATTCTGAAGTGAAGAGAAAGAATTCCAATGTTCATTTTCATTCATTAAAGTGATTTTGTGGGTCTTTCCTGATTGTATGCTATTGCATGCTGCAGTCTTGGTGCTCAGAGAGTGAAGAACAGTTGCATTCAGTTCCAACAGTGTTGTCAGGAGAAGAGCAGAGATGGGTCAGTACCTTGTATCATTATGTCACACTATTGTATTTTCGATCATTGTGTTACTGAAATCTCCATACTGAATGTGAATGTGCTCTACTCATCTACTGTAACATATTTCCATATTATTAGTGTTTTGTATATTTTGATGCAATTGCATGTTCATTGCCTTTGTAAACTACTCATTTTATTCAGCCCTTATAGACAGATTTGGGTGACTCCCCTGAGCTTTTTGGGTTAGGAATATAACTGCTCTAGTACCATTTTCTAGTTAATCATATCCCTTAATAATGTTATATTGAATGCTTTTCCATGAATGTTTAGAAATAAAATTTGAAACAGAAGCTAAGTTCTCTTTACAACATTGACGGCAATGCCCCAATTATCATAGCGTTTAGATCTATAAAAGGGAAACTAAGTTTTGTCTTCTTTGAATATTGCACATCTATACAATAAATAAACATATAACTTGTTGATGTTTCGATCTTCCAACTGATGTTACAAGCACCTTTTTACATGTAATTTCCAGAATAAAGATGTCATCTTTTGTTAGAATTATCCCTTGTCTCTGTTAGATTATTGGCTATGGACGCAAGTGTGTATCTTGTTAAGCAAGTATGTCCAGGACTCCAGGGTGATATTCATAAGGCTTCTAGATAAACTGTTAAGATAATTCTACCATAAAAAAAACTCTGGAGGCAAATTGTGATGAGCATTTTTAGTATTTGAAATTGCAGTGGGATGAACTTTTTTGTAGTTGTTAATTATAAACATGTTTCTTTCATGAGCTGTTAGTTATTAATATGTCTCTTTCGTGAGCTGCAAATGGGAAGGAGTTTCACAAGTTACTGCACCGTTTTCCTTGTAGGTGCCTGAACTCACTGCAATCTGTGAGGAACGATTTCTATGATCTGTGCAGCATGTTCAAACCACATGCTTCAGGTGCTACTTTTTTAAAACTCGTCTTAAACTCTTTGTAGCATTACAGTAGTAGAGCTGGAATACAAACGAAATACTTTTTATCCTAAAGTTTGCTTGATATGCAAAACATTGAACTAGACAGAAGATATGATGCTATGGATTCAGTTAGTTTACTGCATAACAACAAATGAAAAGCTTGTTAATGAAATCAATGCAGCTAGTTTGCATCTCAGACATTGAATAAGTAGTAATAAGTGTGGAAGATAAATAAGAAGGGACATGTTTATTTCTATGGTGTAGCATTTGCAGTGCTAAAGTTTACTTAGAGGTACTAGTTGTTGTCTAGAGTAGTATCTAAGACTACTGGAAATCTTGGTTGGAAACCTCCATTGACAGATAACTGGATATGTCTCGTATATGTATATTAGCTTCATGTAGCTCAAATGGTGACTAGAATTTTGCCTCAACTTCTCACTCTCAAGTTTCCTGCACTAGCCAATTCATGACGTGGACATAGAGGGACTTGAACTCAAGGCCTTAAGCTCATTTTGTTTAACTCTTTGGGCCTTTGTTCTTACTAAACTCATTTTGTTACAATGCAAGCTTTTCTTAATGGGTTACGCAACTAACATGTTGTTCTGTTTCCGATGCAGCTGTGCCAGCAGGTCCAGGCCTTAATCCTAAAGTATAGACTTGAGCGATAAAGCTGGAGATGCATTTTCTCATGGTACAACACATGTTCAACCTAGCTTATAGCTTGGAGTCATTTGCTTATGTGGGGTATGTAGCTGCCGAGTGGCAAGCTAATCATCTACTAGTATCGATGTCTTTGTTACTGTCCGTAGTTTCATTTGGAATTCTGAGTGGTCAAATAAAAAATTCAGCTGTGGTTGTTTTGTGGATTATTGGTGGTTAATATGGTGTCTCAGTTATAGTCGTTTTTTTTTTGACGCGTCAACGGCGGGCTTACGCCTGCCTGAACCTTTATTGCGATCGTCAAGGGGTGTTACAAAGTGCTCAGCATTAGAAGTACATGGGGTCAGAGGGAGAGAAAAAAAGAGAAAAAGTACAAAGTGCTGGAGGCTACAATCTCGCAGCTAAGAGGAACAACATGGATGCCCAGTCTCGAAGCGCAGCTTGTTTCATGGCATTCTTGCAGCGGTGAGACCAAAGGAGTAGGTCATTGGCCGCTGAGTTTGCAGTTGTGTGTAGATCCAGGTGAAGGTCCCGAAAAACTTTGGCGTTTCTCCTCTGCCAAATATTCCAGAGAACGGCCAAAAGGACCGTTGATCTGGTCTTGTTGTTGAAGTTCCCGCTCCAGGCGTGTAGGAGCCCCTGTGGTGCAACAGGGCAAAGGCTACCCAGCTCTGTCCAAAGCGGGCTGAGCCGTCGGCATGTGAACAGGAGGTGTTCAATGGATTCGCATTGCGAGCAGAATGGGCAGGCATTGGAAGTAGTAATGCCCCGCCGGAGGCGTCTGTCATTTGTAAATAGGCGGTCTTTGTTTGCAAGCCAGACGAAGATCCTGCACTTGTTCGGGGGCGTAGTTGCTCCAGATGGCCGTGGCGAAGTTGTCTGTGGGCCTTGCCTTCCAAACCGCCGTGTAAGCCAGTTTAGTGGTGAGCGGCTTGCCGGCCTCCCTTGATGTTCTGCAGTCAGGTACCTGCGAATTCACGTTTACCGTGGCCAAGATATTGCGTAGATCGTTCAGTTCACGCTCAGCTATGTGTGACAGCCTTGGGGTTAGTTCCAGGTGCAGGCCGGGCGTAGCTAGAGCACGGGCCACGGAAGTATTAGGCCGGTTAGAGTGGGAGAACAGCGCAGGGAAAAGCAAGGCTAATGTGATGGTGGAGCACGGAAGTATTAGGCCGGTTAGAGTGGGAGAACAGCGCAGGGAAAAGCAAGGCTAATGTGATGGTGGAGTTAGGGAGCCAGAGGTCAAGCCAGAAGGAGGTAGAGGCCTCGTTGCCAAGTTGAACCGTGGTGTTGGAGCGAAATAGGTCTAGCCCTTTCATGATGTCACGCCAAATAGGGGTGTGGTTAGCGGCCGTTGCGGACACGTCATTGGTGGCCGACCAGCCGTACTTAGAGACAATGTAGGAGTTTTCCCTTGAGGGGTGAACATCGTGCAACCTCGATATGTGCTTTAGGAGAAGGCAGAGGTTCATTTGCGTGAGAGACAGGAAGCCGAGGCCTCGGGGAAGGGGGCGCAGACAATATCCCAAGCCACTTTGCAGTTGCCACCGGTGACCATGTCCTGGCCGGTCCAGAAGAAGGCCCTACAGCGCTTTTCGATGGCTTGCACAGTGCCCGCCGGGAGAAGAAGGACACTCATGGCGTAGATTGGAAGAGCCCGGAGGACGGATCTGACGAGAATGGCTCTCCCGGCCAACGATAGGAGCAGGCCCCGCCAGCCTGCTAAATGTTTGTCAACCTTGTCGATGATGAAGAAAAAATCCGCAAGGCGCAGCTTGTGAGTGGTGTTGGAAATATGCCCTAGAGGCAATAATAAAAGTATTATTATATTTCATTGTTCATGATAATTGTCTTGTATTCATGCTATAACTGTATTATCCGGAAATCGTAATACACGTGTGAATACTTAGACCACACTATGTCCCTGGTAAGCCTCTAGTTGACCAGCCCGTTGTGATCAACAGATAGTCATGGTTTCCTGACTATGGACATTGGATGTCATTGATAACGGGATCACATCATTAGGAGAATGATGTGATGGACAAGACCCAATCCTAAGCATAGCATAAAAGATCGTGTAGTTCGTTTTGCTAGAGCTTTGCAAGTGTCAAGTATCTCTTCCTTCGACCATGAGATCGTGTAACTCCCGGATACCGTAAGAATGCCTTGGGTGTGCCAAACGTCACAACGTAACTGGGTGACTATAAAGGTGCATTACATGTATCTCCGAAAGTAGCTGTTGGGTTGACACGGATCGAGACTGGGATTTGTCACTCCGTATGACGGAGAGGTATCTCTGGGCCCACTCGGTAATGCATCATCATAATGAGCTCAAAGTGACCAAGGTGTTGGACACGGGATCATGCATTACGGTACGAGTAAAGTGACTTGCCGGTAACGAGACTGAACAAGGTATTGGGATACCGACGATCAAGTCTCGGGCAAGTAACGTACCGATTGGCAAAGGGAATTGTATACAGGGTTTGATCGAATCCTCGACATAGTGGTTCATCCGATGACAACATCGAGGAGCATGTGGGAGCCATCATGGGTATCCAGATCCCGCTGATGGTTATTGACTAAGAGAGTCTCGGTCATGTCTACATGTCTCCCGAACCCGTAGGGTCTACACACTTAAGGTTCAGTCACGCTAGGGTTGTAGGGATATGTATATGCAGTAACCCGAATGTTGTTCGGAGTCCCGGATGAGATCCCGGACGTCACGAGGAGTTCCGGAATGGTCCGGAGGTAAATATTTATATATGGGAAGTCCTGTTTCGGGCATCGGGACAAGTTTCGGGGTTATCGGTATTGTACCGGGACCACCGGAGGGGTCCCGGGGGCCCACCGGGTGGGGCCACCCATCCCCGGGGGCCACATGGGCTGTAGGGGGTGCGCCTTGGCCTACATGGGCCAAGGGCACCAGCCCCACAAGGCCCATGCGCCTAGGGTTTCCAAGGGGGAGGAGTCCTACTAGTGGAAGGCACCTCCTAGGTGCCTTGGGGGGGAGGGAATCCCCCCTTGGCCGCCGCACCCCCTAGGAGATTTGATCTCCTAGGGCCGGCCAACCCCCCTTGGCACCCCTATATATAGTGGGGGGGGAGGAGGGACTTCATACCTTGTGCCCTGGCCTTTGGTTGCCTCCTTCTCCCTCCCCAACACCTCCTCCAACTCCATAGCGCTTAGCGAAGCTCTGCCGGAGTACTGCAGCTCCACCAACACCACGCCGTCGTGCTGCTGCTGGTGCCATCTCCCTCAACCTCTCCTCCCTTCCTTGCTGGATCAAGAAGGAGGAGACGTGGCTGTTTCCGTACGTGTGTTGAACGCGGAGGTGCCGTCCGTTCGGCGCAGGTCATCGGTGATTTGAATCACGTCGAGTACGACTACATCATCACCTTGCAAGCTTCCGCACGCGATCTACAAGTGGTATGTAGATGCAAACTCTCTCCCTAGACTCGTTGCTTAGATGAACTCATAGATGGATCTTGGTGAAACCGTAGGAAAATTTTTAATTTTCTGCAACGTTCCCCAACAGTGATATCAGAGCTAGGTCTATGCGTAGTTCTCTTTGCACGAGTAGAACACAACTTTGTTGTGGGCGTGGATTTTGTCATCTTACTTGCCTCTACTAGTCTTTTCTTGCTCAACGGTATTGTGGGATGAAGCGGCCCGGACCAACCTTACACGTACGCTTACGTGAGACCGGTTCCACCGACTGACATGCACAAGTTGCATAAGGTGGCTGGCGGGTGTCTGTCTCTCCCACCTTAGTTGGAGCGGAATCAATGAACAGGGCCCTTATGAAGGGTAAATAGAAGTTGACAAAATCACGTTGTGGTGATTCGTAGGTAAGAAAACGTTCTTGCTAGAACCCAATTGCAGCCACGTAAAAGATGCAACAACAATTAGAGGACGTCTAACTTGTTTTTGCAGCGATTGATCATGTGATGTGATATGGCCAGAAGTTGTGATGAATGATGAATTGTGATGTATGAGATCATGTTCTTTGTAATAGGATTCACGACTTGCATGTCGATGAGTATGACAACCGGCAGGAGCCATAGGAGTTGTCATTATTTTTTGTATGACCTGCGTGTCATTGAATAACGTCATGTAAACTACTTTACTTTATTGCTAAACGTTAGTCATAGAAGTAGAAGTAGTCGTTGGCGTGACAACTTCATGAAGACACGATGATGGAGATCATGATGATGGAGATCATGGTGTCAAGCCGGTGACAAGATGATCATGGAGCCCCGAAGATGAAGATCAATGGAGCTATATGATATTGGCCATATCATGTCACAACTATATAATTGCATGTGATGTTTATTATGCATCTTGTTTACTTAGAACGACGGTAGTAAATAAGATGATCCCTTATAAAATTTCAAGAAGTGTTCTCCCCTAACTGTGCACCGTTGCTACAGTTCGTCGTTTCTAAGCACCACGTGATGATCGGGTGTGATGGATTCTTACGTTCACATACAACGGGTGTAAGACAGTTTTACACAGCGAAAACACTTAGGGTTAACTTGACGAGCCTAGCATGTACAGACATGGCCTCGGAACACGGAGACCGAAAGGTCGAACACGAGTCGTATGGAAGATACGATCAACATGAAAATGTTCACCGACGATGACTAGTCCGTCTCACGTGATGATCGGACACGGGCTGGTCGACTCGGATCGTGTAACACTTAGATGACTAAAGGGATGTCTAATCTAAGTGGGAGTTCATAATTTGATTAGAACTTTATTATCATGAACATAGTCTAAAACCTTTGCAAATATGTCTTGTAGATCAATGGCCAATGCTAATGTCAACATGAACTTCAACGCGTTCCTAGAGAAAACCAAGCTGAAAGATGATGGCAGCAACTATACGGACTGGGTCCGGAACCTGAGGATCATCCTCATAGCTGCCAGGAAACAATATGTCCTAGAAGGACCGCTAGGTGACGCTCCCGTCCCAGAGAACCAAGACATTATGAA